GAAACGATCACGACGCCAAAGAGGACGACGACGACGAACACGAGGAAAGACAGAGGACGACGTAGGCGACGACGACGACGACGACAACGACGCGGGAGGAGGGAGGACGGCGACGACGTCGACGACGACGACGACGACGCAAGAGCGCGCGCACGCTCTTGTTGAAAATCCGTGTTGCGAAACGTTGTGTTGTTGTAGGTTCTTTGGACACACGATGTTGAAATCCTTCCGAAGCCGATGGGTTTGGAAGGATTTCGGCATAGGCGCGCGACGACGCGCGCGTCTGCACTTCGTCCCACTTCTTGCAGAGGATTATCGCGACGGCACACGCGCAAGGGCGTTCGACAGATTTCGACATGCGCGCGCGAAGCCCGTTTGGTAGCATGTTGTGAAAATATTGAGAAACCCATGGTTTTCTTAAGATTTCGCAAGAGCTCGCGCTAAGCTTTTTTAGCAAATCAGTGTTGCGAAACCCTGTGTTTTTGTATGCTTTTTGGAAACTCCATTGCGAAATCCTTCCGACACCGAAGGTTTTTGGAGGATTTCGGCATGCGCGCGACGACGCGCGCGTGTGCACTTCGTCCAATTGTTTTGCAAGGGATTCGCGAAAAAAGTCGTATGTCAGAACAAAAGATGTCCCCGCGTATTGCTTTTTAGAAGGGAACCTCAGGGGGACCGATCCCGGCCTCCCGGGGATAGTGCAAATTCATATTTAGGATGGACATGTGGTGAGAATTATATATGATCTACATACCCGAAAGGGGGACCGATAACGCCGGGGGGGGTAGAGTCTATTCTCCTTTTAGAAAGGAGAATCTACGAAGTGCAACATGTGAAATGCAGTCTATGCGGTGTAATCTATGTGGTGCAACCCATATGGTGCAATCTATGCGACGGCGACGGCGGCGACGGGCGGCACCGCCCGCAAAAGCCGCCACTCGCCCCGAGCGGCGGCGACGGCGACGGCGGCGAGCGACGGCAGCGACGGGCGGCACCGCCCGCAAAAGCCGCCATTCACCCCGAGATGGTTAAGCCAAGTAAGAACCCATACGTGCAAGCACTGTTTGGGGAATACTAGAAAAAATCATCCCCAGACTATTACTATTCTTGCATACTCCTCCTGTAGAGGGACACGCCCGACTCAGAGCTCCTCGCGGAATTCTCGGCTCGGCGCTGGAACCCCAACCTGGCGCACAGAGCGCGCCAGGGGCGGCGCAGGAGGCGCCTCCAAGGGGGGCCCAGCGCAGATTCAAGAAATTCGCGCGGACCTTGCAAGATCCTGCAAGATCCGGCGCTCTGGCTGACCCCTGTCTGCATTAACCCCCGTCTCAAGGCTCCCGACTCCCAAAGGTTATGCTCATGCTGTTTCTTCTTCTTCGAGCTGGCCAGTGCATTCGACGGGCTCCTGCTGCTGCCGAGCGAGGCGGAGCCGGGGGTCCCCTCCGCCAGGCTCCGGCCGCTTCGGGGCCTCGCGAGCCCGGAATCCAGGATGTCGAAGATGACCGCGTGCGACTTCGACCCGGGATGCTCGGAGCATGGTCAGGCGAGACAACGGCGGCAAGCCCTCGCCTTCTCCCTCCTCCCTCTCTGCGGCTCCTCGGTTTCTGCCTTGCCCCACCTCGGGGCGGACGGTCTCGCAGCGAAGTAGTGAACGTTTTCATATTCGGCGTTCCGACATTGGGCGGAAGGGGGAAGGGGGGGGTCTGGCTCCAGACCTCTGCTTAGTTTTGCGACTGTTTGCAACCATGCGTCCTGTGGGGGAGACTCCACCTGCTCGAAGCAGGCGCCGAAAACAGCCAAGATCTACTTCAGGGGGGGGGCGGCGGGGGGCGAGGGCCCGCGCCGATCGGCAAAACAGTGAATCAGAGAACGACCCCAAGAGGAGCTGATGGCTCATCCAGCCTCTCCTCTCCACAGCCACCGGCACCCGACTCTTGCCCCCGCGCCCTTCCCGGGCCCGGCCCCCGTGCGTGCGAGGGGGGGCCGACTCTGGGCCTCGCGGAGGCTGCTCGTCGCCACGGCTGGGCCCGCCCCGAGAAGCGAGCCGGGGTGGACCCGGGGAGGGGTCCCCCGGGGGACCGATGCTCAGCTCGGCTCCACGCAAGAGGGGCCCCAGGCAAGAGTGACCCGTATAGGGCGACGAGATCAGTGCGTGCCCACGGCTCCGCGGCCAGGCCCATCCTGGGCCCAGGATCGAGCTGCGCACACGCCCTCCTGGCTCGGCCAGGGAGGCATATGCACCGCCCCTGGGCCCAGGAGGGGCCTTGCCAGTGAGCAGTGGGTGTGTATAAACTTCGTCGCCCTACTTTGGTGCGCGGAGTTGAGGGGGCGTGAGGTGGCCAAATGCCAGCGCGCAAGCAGCCATCATCGCATCGCGCTCGGCGATCGGGGGGACCCGGGTGAGCCCGCACCAAAGGTCACTCCCGCGCGGGGTCACTCTTGCGTGTAGCCGATCAGCGGATTTGGGTGCGCTGGGTGGCAGAGCCGCCGTCATCTCAACTGGCCCTCCTCCGAGATACAGGCCGACGATCGATGTCGTGTGCACCAACCGGACCAGCGACGAAGCCGTCAGACCATCTTTGGGGTGCTGCTCTACCTCGAGGTCTCCCAAGTGGGATCCGAGCCAATGGGGCCGGAGGCTAGCGCCGCATCGCCGATGCATCGCCGTTGCATCGGCGGCGTCGGCGTGGAGAAACTCGAGCTCCGAATCCAGCCGCACAGCCGAGGCATCGGCGCTGCGGCGCCCATCCTCTGGCCCAGCTCACTCGGACCCCGTGGCCAGACCCCGACGCCGTGATTTGCCTCACGGCGTCGACCCCCAGGAGGTCTGGACCCCCTCCCCAGCACGGGCGCGTCGCCCCACACCGTTCGGTCCACGGCCCGAGGGCCTGGCGAGGGCCCCCAGAGGCCGATGACCGCCCAGAAGCCAACGATGTCCGTGCGAGATCCAAAAAACCGTACCGACACCGCTATTCCCCAGACCTCTCCCAAGGTGCATTCTGAGCCAGAGCTTCGAGGCGATGCCAGCCGTGGCGGCGAGGGCATCCCAGGAGGCCCAGGGAGGCGAAAACGGGGGAAGGGTAGCGGCGTGGGTACCGTTGCCTCTTTCGAGTTTGCGAGGGGCAACGATATGGGGACTGGCGCAGGGGGGAGACATCAACCTGGAATCGGCGATACATCGCCGATAGATCGGCGATAGGCCCACGATGGCGAAACCGCTCGTTCCTGGGCGAGGTGGGCTATCGGGCCCCCATCGACCATGAATGAGCGATGGGGGGTCGATGCATCCCCCCCATGAGCCTTGGTGATGTTCGAACCATAACTCGCGCCTCCGTCGACCATTCGGAACGATCCGGGCATCCCCCGGAACGCTGTCGGCGGGGCGCAGCCGCCAGAAGGCACTCTGACCCTGGAAAGCCGTCGAGAACCGACGGAACCGTCCGAAAACCTCGAACCTCAAACCTCGTCCCCCCCGAGCCTGTCCCCCCTAACGCTGCGCGTGCCTCCTCTCTGCGGGGCGGCGCGGCGCGACCTCTCCGAGAGCCACCGCGGAGGAAGGGCCCGGGCGGCGTGGGGCATCAGGCCCGCATCGGAGTCGATGCCTCCACCACTTGAGCCTGCCCCCCCGAAGGTTGCCCCTGAGTTTGGGAGGCCCGGATGCCTGCAGGACGATCTTGGAGCTGGCGGAGTGCGCCGCGGCCTCCTGGCGGCTGCAGCGGGGGCCGCTCGGCCCCAGGGCCTCCGGCTGCGCGGCCTCGCCGCCGAGCCTCTCGGACACGCGGGCGTAGAGCCGGCGCAGCCGGGCGCCCTCATGAGCATCGTTTCACCGACCCCTGCAGCCAAGACGCTGAGATAAGGAAGAGTTTGGCATCGTCAGGGGCTCACGTTCCTGGGGTCCCTCCATGGCTGTTTCTGTAGCGCTCCCCGTCCACGCAGGCGCTTTGGGGGGGCCACAGAGGGACGTCGTTCCTGATTCAGCGTTCCTTACTTCAGCAGCCCGACTGCCCCACTGGCGTGGCCTTGACCCCACTGGCCGATTGATCCGCCTGGATGGGGGTGGAGGCAGTTCCCTTCAGGTCTCGAGGGGCTCGTGCCCAACTGGGGTGGGATGGTGGGGCTGGGGTACCAGGGCCCGGTGGGGACGCGGATAGGTTTGACGACACTGACCTTGATCGGGAACCTGTAGGTGTGGAACGCCAAGCACAGCTCGCACAGCGGCGCCCAGAGGCCGATCACGGCGCTGATGTAGACCCTCAGCGCATCTGGCTGACCGTCTATCATGTCGCGCGTGCAATCGGCGATGCACTGCCCGATGTCCTCCGCGCCGGAGGCGTTGCAGATCGCCTCGCAATTCTGGGTCTCCAGGCCGCAGAGGGATAGGCCCAGGAAGGTGAGGGAGCCGCAAGCCGCGCCCGCCACGCTCTGGACAGCTGCGAGAGAGGACAGGATCCGCGCCTCTCGCCGCTCGGCGCCGGGGGTGACCTGGGTGTCCTCGTCCACGAGCCAGCACTGCGCCGAGACCCTCCAGAAGGAGAACCCGGAGAGGCCCACTCGGCAGAGCACGGCCCACACCAGAAACACGAGCACCGAGGGGGGGAGGACGAACATAACGAGGACGGTGAGAGCGGCGTTCAGCAGCCGCATGGCCACGACGAACGACAGGAGCCGCCTGTCCGCCTTGCCGGTGGTGTCCTGCCGCCCGTCGCCGCGGCTGAACGCCCACATGTACACCACGTTCATCACCGTCTCAGTGCCGCCGGCGGCCATGCCGGCGGCCAGGATCACGGCGCTCCGCTCGGCGCCGTAGATCCTGAGGACGTAAGTGATGTAGTAGTAGAGCATGGGCAGAAGAGGGAGAAACGGCACGAGCATAAACTGTCGGAGGTCCGCGGAGACGTCGGCGCTGGGCCCCCCCTGGCGGGGCCACCCCCGGCGCGCTCCGCGCGCCAGGGCAGGAGGTCTGGCACAGGCTCCAGAGACCCGCGCGGGCCCTCGAAAGTCTAAAGCTCGTACGCGTTCTTCTTCTTCGGATGGAGGCGATGGAGGCCCCATACGCGCCGTTCCAGAACTTTAGCGCCCACATCTGCCGGAGCGCTCCATTCCAGGCCCCTCGCAGGAAGACCTCGCGCCATATGCTGACCTGCGGGTCCTCCGAGGCCAGGGGAGCCCAGAACCGAATCGCCGAGTCGGATCGGCGATCGACGCGAGTCCGATCGGCGGAGATCGGCGGCCAGGCCGGGAGACGCCACATCGGGAGAGAGCGGCAGGCTGAGAGGCCCCCATCGAGGCACTGGAAAATCCACATGGGAATCTGAAGTCGGATCGGATCGGAATCGGAAGCTTCCGGAATCGAGTCGAATCGGCGGAGTAAGAGATGAGCCCCGTCCTCCTGCTCGCCCCGCGCCGCGCCGGCGCCGGGGCCGTCCGCCGCGCCCGGGCCACCCCTCCGCCGGCTCCGTGCCTGCCGCATGACTGGCACCGCCGCCAGGCTGATGAGGGCCACGGCCAGGAGGGTCGGGCGTTCCGTGCTAGCGGGGTGGGGGCGATGCACGCGACGCTCCTGCTCCTCCTCCTCCTCCTCCTCCTCCTCCTCCTCCTCCTCCTCCTCCTCCTCCTCCTCCTCCTCCTCCTCCTAATCTGCCTCCTCTTCCTCCTCCTCCTCCTCCTCCTCCTCCTCCTCCTCCTCCTCCTCCTCCTCCTCCTCCTCCTCCTCCTCCTCCTCCTCCTCCTCCTCATCCTCATCCTCATCCTACACTACAGTCAACCCGTACAGTTAGGACGCACGATAAGTATGCATGGGCCTTGGAAGGTCATGTGGACACTTTGCGAGCGGGGCGCGGTCAGCGAAGGCGGCCAAGGACGGGCCGCAGAGGGAAGGATGCAGGGGTACCCTTGGACAGTTGCTCGTCCTTCATATGCGGGTTTGACAGCGTGTTTCCTCCCAGGAGGCGCCCGTCTGCACCCAACGGTGCGGCTAGCGAAGCGCCCGCCACCGATCTTAGGCTTCAGGATTTCTGATGTCGATCGGCGCGCGCGTCGCCCCTGGGGGGGGGGGCCCCCCCGCGCCCACATCCCCCCCCCCCCCTAGTCATCGGTCGGAAGAAGTAGGTGGAAACATGAAGGAGGAAGGCGTTGAAAGTAGATTGGGTGTCCGCCCGCCACCGAGAGAGGACGGAAAAGGTGAAGCCGCTCGACCCTTGAAGCAGGAAGGCGCCTACAGTAGAGCGGCAGCTGGGAATCCCAAATTACCTACTTTCAACGACCGATGGGCAGTCACCACCCCCCTGATGAGCCTGTCTTCCACCACCACCACCACCACCACCATAAGTTGGAAGGGGGAAAGAGGAGGACAAGGAGGAGGACAAGGAGGAGGAGGAGGAGGAGGAGGGATGGGGAGGAGGAGGAGAAAGGAGGAGGAGGAGGAGAAGGGATGGATGGGGAGGAGGAGGAGGGGGAGGAGGAGGAGGAGGAGGAGGAGGAGGAGGAGGAGGAGAGGGATGGGGAGGAGGAGGAGGGAGGAGGAGGAGGAGGAGGAGGGATGGATGGGGAGGAGGAGGAGGGGGAGGAGGAGGAGGAGGAGGAGGAGGGGAGGAGGAGGAGGAGGAGGAGGGATGGGGAGGAGGAGGAGGAGAGAGGAGGAGGAGGAGGAGGGGGAGGAGGAGGAGGAGAGGGAGGAGGAGGAGGAGGAGGAGGAGGAGGAGGAGAGGAGGAGGAGGAGGAGGAGGAGGAGGAGGGGGTGGAGGAGGAGGAGGAGGAGGAGGAGGAGGAGGAGGGATGGGGGGAGGAGGAGGAGGAGGAGGAGGGAGGAGGAGGGGGAGGAGGAGGAGAGAGGAGGAGGAGGGATGGATGGGGAGGAGGGGGGGGGGAGGAGGAGGAGGAGGAGGAGGAGGAGGAGGAGGAGGAGAACCCCCTCCCCCTCCAACTTCTGGTGGTGGTGGAAGACAGGCCCGTCGCCCCCCTCTTGGCCGCCCCGCACGCGCGCAGTGGAGGTCCCTTGGGGTGACGCCGAGATCCGCGCGATCCCCGGGCGCTCGCGCCTCGGCGCTCCCCCGCCGCGCCCGCTCCCTCCGCGGCGGGCCAGCCGCGGCCGCGGCGCCTCCGCGCAGGGGGGCGCTCGGCGCGCGGAGCGCGCCCTGGCTCGGGGGCAGCGCCGGCGCGGCTGCAGGCCACGAGAGACCACAAGAGAGCACAAGAGAGCACCAGAAAGCCAAGAATTTGGGGCCCACAGAAGCCACCAGAAGCCACCAGAGGCCACGAGAGACCACAAGAGAGCACCAGAAAGCCAAGAATTTGGGGCCCACAGAAGCCACCAGAAACCACCAGAAACCACCAGAGACCACAAGAAAGCCAAGAAACCACAAGAAAGCCACAAGAAAGCCACAAGAAGCTACAAGAAACCACAAGAAGACGTTCACATATTGGGGGTGTGGGCCCGCCACGCCCGCCATAGCAGAAGCATCGAAACCCAAGAAGCCCAGGGCACCCTGGAGGCAAGCAGGG